AGAGTCACCTGTAGTTTGTCCAAGTACCTTTGCATTCGATCTTCTCGAACCTCGAAGGTTCTGTTGACTTGGTTTACCACAAGCAGGGAGTCACATTTGGCCTCGATGACCCAAACCTTTAGCTAGCTCTAGACCTGCAATCATTGCCTCATACTCGGCCTCATTGTTAGTTAACTTGGACGTTTTGATAGCTTGTATAATTGTATTACCCGTGGGCGGCTTCAAAACGATGCCTAGACTGGACCCCTTCACGTTCGAAGCGCCGTCTGTGAAGAGGGTCTACACCCTCGATGATGTACCCGACTTTAATAATATTTCCTTTTCAACCTCGGGTACGAGGGATGGCGTAAAGTCGGTCACGAAGTCTGCTAAGATTTGAGACTTGATGGTCGTTCGGGGTCGATACTCGATATCGTACCCACTGACCTCGACGGCCCATTTGGCCAATCAGACTTATGCAAAATATTGCGAAGGGGATAAGTAGTCACCACACAGATTGGGTGACACTGAAAATATGGTTTTAATTTCCTAGAGGCGCTTATTAGGGCAAGCGCTAATTTTTCTAAGTGTGGGTACCGGGTCTCGGCCTCTCCTAAAGTTCGACTAACATAGTAAATAGAAAATTGTGTACCTTGCTCTTCTCAAACTAGGACCCCACTTACCGCGATTTTCGAGACTGCTAATTACAAGTAGAGCTGCTCGTCCGCTTTCGGAGTATGAAGCAGTGGCGGGCTCGAGAGGTACCGCTTTAATTCTTCCAATGCTTGTTGGCATTCCGGGGTCCATGGAAAATTGTTCTTCTTTCTGAGCAGTGAGAAGAACATGTGACTTCTATCCGAAGATCTCGAGATGAATCGGCTTAGGGCGGCTATGCACCCTGTTAACCTTTGTACGGCCTTAACATTGTTCATGACTGTGATGTCTTTGATTGCCTTGATCTTATCGGGGTTGATTTCGATCCCCTGATTTGATACCATAAAGCCGAGGAACTTGCCTGAGCCGACCCCGAATGCACATTTCTCCGGGTTGAGTTTCATGTAGTATTTCCTTAGTATATCGAAGGTCTCCTGCAAATGTGTCAAATGGTCCTCTGCTCGTAGGGACTTAACTAGCATATCGTCAATATAAACCTCCATTGATTTACCTATTTGTTCTTCGAACATTCGATTTACTAAGCGTTGATAAGTGGCACCAGCATTTTTTAGTCCAAACGACATTACATTATAACAATAGGTGTCGTACTTAGTGATGAACGAGATCTTTTCCTGATCCTCCGGGTTCATTTGTATTTGATTGTACCCAGAGTAGGCATCGAGAAAACTAAGGATCTCGTGGCTGGCTGTGGCATCGATCATGCGATCGATATTCGGCAGAGGAAAAGAGTCTTTAGGACATGCTTTGTTTAAATCTTTATAGTCTACGCACATTCTAAGTTTATTTCCCTTTTTAGGGACTACGACAATGTTTGCTAACCATTCGGGATATTTTACTTCCCGAATGGATCCTATTTTGAGATGTTTGGCTACCTCATCCTTGATGAATGCATGTTTTACCTTGGACTGGGGCCTTCTCTTTTGTTTTACCGGGCGAAACTTCGGGTCCAAGCTCAGTCAATGTATAGTGATCTCCGGCGGGACCCCTGTCATATCTAGGTGGGACCAAGCAAAATAATCCATATTATTGATAAGAAATTTAATGAGTTTTTCCCTGAGCTCAGGGGTTAACCCTGTACCCAGGTATACCTTTCGATCGGGTAGATGCTCGATCAGTATGACTTGCTCCAGCTCTTCGACTGTCGCTTTGGTAGCGTCGGAATCCTCGGGGATTATGAAGGATCGAGGGGTCTAGTAGTCATCGTCCCCGTCCGTTCCCTGCTTCTCCGACTGAGTCGAGGCTAGTGGTTGTGGTTGCTATTTAGCTCCCTGTTTTCCTTTGGATTCCGATCCCTTTGTTGACGAAAGCGCCGACACCGGTATTACTTTGTCGATCGCGAACATCTCTTTGGCAGTATGTTGTTCCCCATACACTATTTTTACTCCATCCGGTGTTGGGAACTTCAGCATTTGGTGAAGGGTTGAGGGGACCGCCCTCATGTTGTGAATCTAGGGTCTTCTGAGCAGTGCGTTGTATCTCATATCGCCCTCGATCACATGGAACTTTGTTTCTTGAATAGTTCCGGCTACATTTACCGGTAGGATGATTTCATCTTTAGTTGTTTCACTAGCCATGTTGAAGCCATTGAGAATCCAAGTTGCGGGTACGATCTGATCTTGTAGGTCGAGCTGCTCCACGACCCTCGATCGAATAATATTGACCGAGCTTCCTAGATCAATTAAAACACATTTAACTTGAATTTTATTCATAAGGATAGAGATTACCAAAGCATCATTGTGGGGTTGTGAGATCCCTTCTGCTTCCTCATCATTGAATGATAAAGTGCCCTCTAGCACATAGTCTCGAGTTCGTTTTTCCCTGATGATTGATACTTTAGTGCATTTGAACATGGGCCCATGTGGAATATCGACCCCACCAACGATCATGTGAATCACGTGCTGTGGTTCTTCCTGCTCGTTTTTCCTGTTTGCATCCCTGTCGCTGAAATGGTTTTTAGCTCGATCGCTCAAGAATTCTCGAAGGTGACTCTCGTTGAATAGACGGGCCACCTCCTCTTTTAGTTATCTGCAGTCTTCGGTTCTATGACCATGTGTACCATGGTATTTGCATATTTGATTGAGGTTTCTTTGGGATGGATCGGTTTGTAGTGGTCTGGGCCATCTAGTATCTTTGATTCTCCCAATGGCTGACACAATACCTGATGTGTCGATGCTGAAGTTATATTCTGATAATCGTGGTGCTTCTGTGGGATCGGTATGTTTATCGAATCCACTTTTGCTCATGAGCCCTCGAGAGCTTTGTCCTCGATCGTTCCTTCGATCATTTCAGATGGGATTGCGTCCTGGGTCGCTGTTTCTACGATCTGCATTGTATGGTTATTACCGATCTCTGTTCGACCGGGGTTCTCTGTCGATATCCCTTTGAGTTCTGCCGACGGGCCTGTTTGGATAAACGGAACCGGAAGGGGTCCCCAATTGACTATCCTCGACCCTGATATTTTACTAGTACCGATTATGTACATCAACCCAGGTTACCGCTGGATATTCAATTAAATTCTGTGTTAGCTGTCGTGATGCCACCGAATTTCGTTCGTTCAAACCTTGAGTAAAAGCTTGAACGGCCCAATCGTCTGTGGCCGATGGTAGTTCCATGCGTTCCATCTGGAACCAAGATACGAATTTCCTCAACATTTCGTTGTCTTTTTGTTTCACCTTGAAGAGGTCTGACTTCCTAGTCACAACCTTTATTGCTCCGGCATGTGCCTTTACGAAGGAGTCTGCAAGCATGGCGAAGGAATCGATGGAATTAGGTGGCAAATTGTGGTACCATATCATTGCTCCTTTCGACAAGGTTTCTCCAAATTTCTTCAGTAGAACAGATTCAATCTCATCGTCTTCCAAGTCATTCCCTTTTATTGCGCATGTATAAGAAGTGACATGCTCATTAGGGTCGGTGGTCCCATTGTACTTAGTAATTTCTGGCATTCGGAATTTCTCCGGAATGGGTTTCGGAGCCGCACTTGGAGGGAAAGGCTTCTGTACGAATGTTTTTGAATCCATACCCTTTAGAATCGGCGGTGCCCCCGGTATTTGGTAAACCCGGGAGTTGTATGTCTCTACTTTCTTGTCATTTGCCTCGATTTTCTTTTCTCCCTATTCAATCCGTTTAGTGAGCTCCTCGAGCATTTTCATAATGGCGGGGTCAGTCCCTGATTCGTTGGCGTTCGACCTTTCCGGCACAGGCTCAGTCCTGTGGACGACTTCTGGTTCGACCCTACTCAGTGTTCGGTGTTGATTTTGTAGTTGTGCTATAGCGGCTTGTTGAGCCTGTAATATTTCGAATATCAATTGGAGGCTAACTCCACCATCTTCTCCGCCCTGCGTACCTCGACCACCTGATCGAACTTCCCTGCGTACACTACCTTCGGGATCAGCGCCCAAATTTGCATTTAGGGCGACATGTGAACTGACATCTACGAGATTTGCAATTGGTGCTTCCTCGAGGTCAGCCTGAGGCGCCTCGATCCCTGGAGCGGCTATACTGTCATTTTCCCCATGAAAACCGAGGCCCGTGTCACCATGTGTAGGCGCTTGTGAGTTTGACATGTTTATCCTGAAAACAAAGATTCTTACGAGAACAAGTGTAAAGCAGTGTGTGTTATCGGAATCAGTATTAAGCAATCACTATTATCCTTGGCCCCACGGTGGGCGCCAAACTGTTTATCCTTCAAATTGGATAATAATTAAACTTATGATGTGGTCCAAAGGATACGTGATTTCGCTTAATACCAATTGATAAATATGAAGAATAATAACAGAAATGAATTATAAAGTAAGGCAAACCAGAGTTAGAATGGAAATCAGCCCTAAAGTTTGGATACCCTCGAACTGGTAGATGTAAGAACAATTAAAATATAACAAGCTAATAAACAATAGTATAAACAAGAAAAAGAATTATATTGCTTTGACATCTGTGAACAATGTATCCTACAAATGATTAGAACCCCCCTTTAAATAGTAGAGGAATTCCATTTATGGTATAATTCTAATTACAGAAGGAAATCCCATGATTAGCTAATTAACCATTTCTGATTTGATCCGTTCCGAGATTTACGCCATGATCCTCGACCAGTCACGGATATCTCGCCTTTCTGTTATTGTGTTATCTTCAATCTTGCTCGATGCCTGTCTCATTTGGCTTCGATCGCTACTAGTCTCGATCTCGACAGGTACCTCGATTTTGAACTCGGTACCTTATCCTCGTGATTTTGTCTGTTCCGTTACGAGGCTATCATTCGATGCAACCTCCCGGTCTCGGTCGAATAGTAAAATCGGGTGGGCCCGGTTTTAACTGTATACACTCCCTAAACTAGTTTTTGAAATTCATCATGAAGGAGAAGTGCAAGGAGATCCTGAGGCTGAGGATAACGAAGTGTTGTTACTGTTGGAACTTCCAGAAGTGCCGAGTGACCTAGCATCTCTTAGTGAAACTGAACATGCCACAGCTGGAAGTTTCTTCATTGGAGTTAATGGGAGTGAAGAGGGACTAGATAATGATGATTGGCCACTACCATTGTCGTCTTTCCCAGAAGAATGAATTGTTTCGAGACGTGAAGGCGATGAATCAGGCGTTTCAAATAGGGTATCACCTTTGCTAGGCCTGCAGGCTTCGTTATCGTAAATGGGATTGGATATGTATACTAATTGCTTCTTTGTAGCACCACCGTCAACTCCTTCAATGTTGCTGCATTGGAGTGGAAATTGATGGACTAATTTAGGGGATAAATTCGAAATGAAGGGATGGGAATGTGGTGAAGAAAAAATAAGCCCAACTTGATGATGAATGGAGGAGACTTGCGCAGAGCTTTGCATTTCAAGGTCGAACTTGTCGTTGCGAGTAACTGCAGGAATGAGAAAGTTTCTAGGAGCATGAAGAACCCCTTGCGCATAGAAGTCACTGAGAGTTGAAGCAGTTGATTGGTTTTGTTGTTGCCGGGGTGGTTCCTTGGAGCTTTGGGCCGCAGTAGCGGAGGTGGAGGAATTCAGGGGTGTCATTTGGAGCTGTCGTCGTTGACGAATTAAGAGTGAGCAGTAGAGCTCAGCAAGTAGAACTAAGACGAGGCCTAAAACTATTGCGAGGCTCACCACCATTACTAATGTTGCTGCCATTACAACTTCTGAATTACCCTTCATTCTCTCTCTTATANCGGTAGACCCTCGGCTCATGAAAGATAAAGGAAGGGGCAATGATAAGCAAATCAATCAGAAAAACCAAGCGAAAACACAAAACTAACACTAGGTAATGCAAATAGAAAACCAAAGCGAAGGCAACAAAAAGTAATAACAGAAGTCTAGAAATACGAAAACACACGAAAGACACTAAGTGACGTACTAAAGCAACTATAACAAACAATGACAAAGCTCGGCTACCTAATCCTCTACCCTAATCCTCTCTCTCTATATATACATATATTATCTATCTGTGTGTGCTGATATGGGTGTTGAGAAACAAGAGAATCTTGTAAAATAAAAGTGACTTTGGAAGCGTGAGGAAATTTTGGCGGGAACATAACATTTTTACTCGTGTGTGAGTTGAGAAAAGCAATGCCAGATAGAAGGAATCCAAGGGAGTAGTAGGAGAAAAGCTTTCGTATGTACATGCCCAAGCTTTTGCTCAGAGCAAACGAGGGCTTTCTGACAGCAAGTCAATTTGGCCAACTTTTTAAAAAAACAAAACATTTGTCTGTGCTCTTTACTTTCGAGTTGAAACAGGGCGGGCAGCACCATGTTGGTCTCCTTGCTGACAAAAGAAACCACGTCTAAGCTGCCACTAAACGAATAATACCAGTCAAATGCTTCCTTCAATAGTATTTTCAATCTTTAACGCAAAAGACAACTTTATCTTAACGTCCACGAAAGCAGCACTCCAGTAGAGCACGCATACGTAGGAACAGTAACTCAAAGAATCTCATAGCCTCAAAGATCAAGGTTACATATGAATCATGAATGGTTACAGTTTTACAATCAACTAGTACGCAAATGGGATTTAGAGCAAGGAACAGCTAAAGCCGTAAATGTGCCTGGACATCATTTACGTCATGAAACATGTTATATGATGCAGCTCTATGCCTCCTACCTGTAGTATTTGGAAACCTGTGCCTATGAGAACATCAAGATGAATATTTTGGGTACAGGTTGTCAAGTAATACAGGTTACAAGTTAACAGGTTCCAGTCAGTAAACAGCTAAGGACAAGATCAACCTGTGTAAATGAATGTGANCAACATGTGTAAATGAATGTGAAGAGGTAACACACACCAGAGTAAACAAAAATGGTTACCACTCCCCAAGGTTAACCTATTATTAAAATTATCGGCCTCTTAAAGCAGCAAATCGGGCAGTCAAATCATCATAATCTGGTAGTTTTGGATGCACATGACATGCCTGGTTGTCTGGCTGAAATGAATTGGCACGAGCAAATACCTTTGTTGCCTCTGATGGAGCAGTTTGCTCATGTGGGAGGGAAATAGATCTTTTGGGGAAAGGAAGCATATCTGATCCCATTTGATGTTGATCTCTGTTGGTTTGATTATTTGAGGATTCACCAGTATCACGAGTTGTCAGATGTGAAAGATGAGCTTGTGGCTTTTTCCTCAGAGTCTCCACATCACATTTTGATGGTTTTTTACTGTAATGCAGCAACAGTTTATCTATCATTCTTTCCTCATCATCTTTCTGATGGCTTTCATCCTCAAACAAAATCTGCACGCCTTTCCTCGAATGTTCCCTTCTCCGGCTACTTGAACTTTTCTTGACCACCCTGGCATCTTCAGACTTCCCCTCTTCGCCGCGATTTGACACTGATTTATGGTGCTTTCTCCTTACAGATCTTGGTTTTGGCAAGGTCAAACCATCCTTATGAGATAATTCTTTCTCATGACCGTGACTATTTAGTACAGGGGGTTTAATAGTTTGAGCCTCATCATCAGGAAGATCTGATTCTTTATTGGTCTTGTTTGTATCAAGTTTATTGCGTGGAGAGGTGCTTCTGAAATGCCCATCAAATTCAGAAGCAGACTGCTTAGAACCCTTACGGGCTCTTTCTTTGCTATCACTTGGTTTTACATAGGGAGGAGGAACGGCTTTCTCTTTGGACTTAATATATGGTGGAGGGAGAACAAGGTTGGCATAGGATGTCAACCTATTTCCATTTTCCTGCTGAACCATTCTTGTTGAGTAAACAGTATTCTTTTCAATGGCTGTGTTCCAAGCAGAAGAGACACCATCAGTTTTGAAAGGGAGTCCCCTACTCTCTGATCTTTCCATGAGAATCTGACCATGATTTTCATTGTATCTAGTGAATTTATTATCAAAACCTTCTAGCCTCTCTCCATGTGATGAACTGCCTGATTTTGCATTCTTTATTGAATTATCATCTTTCTCTAGGACTGCTTTGTTTCTTATCCTTGTCTGTTCCACCTCTTTATCAAACAACATATCATGTTTTCGCCCCTTGGAATAACTAGCTTCCTGCTTTATAAGCGGTTTATTTCCATGCATACTTGATTCTTTCGTTTCAGAGGAATGAAGATCCCGCTGCTCTTTCTTTAAGACAATACCCTCTCTGCCATTCTGTATATTATGTTGATCATTAAAGCCCTTGTGCCTTTCACCAAGTGCAACATCGAGTTTATCAGTTTTTGAACCACCACCCTTGCCATTTGGTAGGATGTTGTTGCCAGTAGAAGAATGTGAAGATCCACTCCTGATTGGTTTGGCCTACATTTATCAAGGAAAAGGCAATGGTGAAACTTCACTTGTATCTATATTTGGGGAAAAGTTATGTTTCACTTCCCCAGATAGTTGTTGAGAGAAGTAGCAAATTAGGATACTTAAGGATGAACGTTTATTTTGGAGGCAAACACTAACAACAATTTTACACCTTTTAGCAGCCAATGGTAATCTCAGTTTTGAACAAAAAAGATGTACCTGTGCAAGTGCCATCCTTTGTTGAAATCCCATGGAATCCCACCTTATAGAAAATTCTAAAGCTATACCTTGCAACAGCTGAATTCTCTTCTCCATTGCAGGGGGTCTTGAAGATAATTTCTCAACAAACTAATTGCACTGAAGGAAGTCAGATATAAAAGACAGATAAAATAAGATGTGCAGGACAGTATAATAAACAAATCACCTTCTGGTTAACAAAACATTCCAAGGAGTTCCCATATCTCTCCTGAAATAAATCCCTTAGCTCTCTCAATTCTGGCAAATCAGAGAATCTTGCTGCAGCAAACATCAATGATGCCACAGCTTCTCTGCAGTCCTCAGGACAGTCCCTGGATATAGACAGTATGTGTCAATTACTTACTATCATATTTGGGGAACAATGGTTTTGTTAAGTGTCCTGCATTCGTCAAGGATAGGATTGTTGTCTCCTTACATGATCTTGGGTTTTCTCACCTCATAAGCTACCTTTTGCGATTGAGTTAGGCCCAGTGTTGTCAAAGGCAAAAAACGCTAAAAAGTGCTCGAGGTCTATTTGGTATTAAGCGCAAAGCGCAGTTAAAGTGTGAGCTTTAGTTAAAAAAGGCGTAATGAAGAAAAAATAAAAATATATTTATAATGCGAGAAAAAAGTGACAACTTCATTAACAATGATTTCCTTAAAAATTAATATATCTTTTTGTCAAACATATTTGTTGCTTAGTACCTGCTATATTCAAGATAGAACTCATGGGCAATGAGGTGCACGCCTCAGTGCCTTGTCTACACTAAAGCGCAACCTAAGTGAGATGAAGCATCGGCCTTGAGCTTCTTTGAGCTTCAAGGCTTAAATGCGCCTCAAATGAACTTTTGACAAAACTGGACTAAGGCCCAAGGTCTATTTTCTTAATATGGAACCAGAACCAGACCATTCCTCCTATTCTTGGTTTATCCAAAATTGGGCTCCCATTTATATTGTCCAAGCACCAATGTCCAGCTTAGCATGGGGGTGTTGTTAAGTGTCCCACAATGGTTGAGGGGGTTGTCATCTCTTATGTAATCTTGGGCAATCATCATCGCATGAGCTCACTTTTTGAGTTGATAACAAACCCAAGGCCCATTTTCTCAAACAAGTTTCACCTCTTTGGCCAGTTGCGATGTCCAATAGTATAATCAGTGTGTTAAAAATAGAAGTGAAACGGTTGTAATTCACTGTAAGATCTTTCTAAAGAGACAAGAACTCACTGTAAGACCTTCTAAAAGAAGCAATATTTAAGGATACAATTTACGGTTAACCTTTAAAGCCTTACACGAGCTAGATTTAGCACAGAATCGAAGTTTCAGTACAATCCCATGAAAAATGAGGATGTATGGAGAAACTTTGGTTTGTCTAGTCAACAAGGCATTTCACTGGGGGCACCTTGGTTGGAGATCAGATTATACTGCTTAAATGACTAGAAAAAAGTGAAACGGTAAGAAACCGGTGAACTCAACCACACTCTACTTGACACTTAACTTACTAAAGTTCATTGATGGTAAGAAGTGCGGAACTTTCTGAGAATTTCCATCAGTCAATTGATGGATCTTTCAAAGTCTATGCCATGTCACCTTCGTCCCAACATAAGATGCTGATAAGTTATGGTCCAGTTTGCAATAAGATGGCACTTCCAGATTAAAGATAGTTAGGCCCAATCTACAGAAAAGAATATTGTCTATGATGATGTATTTGGTACTAAATCTAGCCCTTGCTTTTGAGAATTCACAACAAACAACTGGTTGAGCTTGAAATAAAATGCATGGACCAGTGGGTGATCCGTACATTGTGTAGTTCCCTTTTAGCCAGTTAATTTTACATGAAAATATTTTTTATCACTTTGAGTAACAACAAACTATCAAATATGAATATTTAAACAAGTTCAACAAATTGAACTCACATTCTTCATAAGGTTTCAAGAAACTACCAAGTCCTTTTGCATTGTGTTGCATCATGACTCATGTAAAGGCTCATGTGCGACTTGCTTAATTGAAGCCTTAAGGTAGCTCATTTTCCAATTTAGTTAGATCTCTCGTGGTATCCTATTTAAAAGAATTACTCATATCTGTTACAAATCAGATGTTCCCAAGTAGAAACTTTTTCCTTAACCAACCATTTTTTTTTATAAATAATTGTGTAATCCACTATAGAGATTAAAATTGCATAGAATGAAAGTAATGATATACCTTAATTTCTGCATGTAGGAGAGCTGCTTTACAATATATTCACAAGATTGTTCCACAAAGTCGTAGCAGTATAAGAGGCTCTGCCCTAGCAAAATTTCTTCAGTCTGCCTCACCTCGTCAGAAATCATTTAACCACATTAGATTCTAATTTTTCAGGATATAAAAGAGTGTTCAAAGAAAAGAAAGAATGCAATAAGCCTTGTCTTTTCATTCGCCTTCACCAAATCCAATTCCATACTTCTTCTGGCATTAGAATATTTTTGTTCGGATGATTCTAAAAGGAAGTTCCTAATGTTATACTAATGCTATAAATTCCAATCAATTAAACTGCATCCATCCAGAATTCCATTTTCATCATGTTCTTCTTTTTTCACTTTTTTCAAAGCATAAGAACGGATCCGAACACAATTGCTTTCAGAAAAAAATTCAGTCAAATAACGAACTAAACAAATAGATAGAACGCAGTAAATTCAAATCGGAATAAAATTATTGTAGAAAAAGAACTTAAAGCACGAAAAAGCTTTTTAAAAAAAAAGAATAGAAATAAATCACCCTTCCAAAAGCATTAATATCGAGGCCATTATCAAGCAATTTGGCAAGATCTTCCTTCAAAAACCTTTGTTTCGCCTCTGCTCTCCGTCTCACCACCTCGATTCGCGTTCTCGTTGCCTTTATCAACGATTTGCTTCATTCGTTTCAAAACCAAACTCAAAACACAAATCTGAATATCCATATAGAAAAAGAAAAAAATAAAAAGACTAACCATTTGGAGCTGAATCCACGGTTTAGTATACCATCAAGCATCTCTGATCTCAGTAGTCCTTCACTTCCAAATAAGTCCCTCTTCACTTTTCAGCTTTAAGTAATCGTGTGTATATATATGTATATATTTGTGCAAGTCATGTAAACAGATCTATAAATACACAAAGTGAGCTTCAAACACGAGATTTGTAAAAGTATGGCTGTCTGTAAATGTATGGTTGTTTGTATGTATAAAACTGTGTATGTGCAGAGAGCAGTGATAAGTGTAGCAGAGACTTTGGATTTGGGGAGTTTTTTAGGGGACTTTCTGGAATATTTTTTTTAATACAGAAATAATGACAAAGGGGGTCTAACGGATTTCAAGCTGTCCTTTTCTCGACTTTTTATTACTCCTTTTCTATTTCGTTTTCTTACCGTTTTAATTTTCGTCTATGTTTGGTTAAACTAGTCTCACGTTATTGCTCGTCAATCATCACCCATAAGTATTTAGGTGATAACAAAATAGACAAGATTTCTAGAAACATATGAGAAAACTTGATAACGAACCATAAGAACTTGCTGAAAAATCCTGAAAGGTGACGATTTCTATCCAAATTGGTTCTGATGCTTGCTTCATGTTGTGACTTCTTACCATATGAAGAAGAAGTTTTTTGGATTATCTACATGTATTATTTTTAATATTCTTCTTATTAATTGATCGTCGCTCTTTTTTTTACTTTTCCTCCTTTATATGATACTTAAGATTGGAGCTTTGGCATGTTATATTACTATATTATGTTCTCAATGAAACCTGTGCTCAATGGTTTGTCTCGATTAATAAATTCACCTTGAGAATTTAGTTAATTTTGAGAAATGATCACACCCAACTATGCCTTATAAAAAGGACTAAGCGGTCGTTGTAAATATAGTTCGGTTAACAAGTCCGGAGTCGAATCCCACAGGGAGTTAACCTACTAATCACAGCTACTAGACTCGCACCAATTCACGCAATCAATCTTCAGAAATATTAAATAACAAATTGGATGTTTACTAACTAAAGATCAAGTAATGAAAATGCAGTAATTAATAACTAACTACGAACAGGTTGTAGACAAGATTTAGAATGATCTAAGGTTCTAATTTCCCCTATTGTCGGATTCCTTTCCGCTACGTTTCCTATAAATTTGCCTAAGTTTTCTCTACCGATCATGAGCGCTTTGAGTGTTGTAATTCTCTCCCGAGTAACTACCACAATTTACTAGACATATTCTTCCGAACTACGCTAGCTGGCACTAAGTTACAGCTCACTCTTATCGCACCAAGATTTCGTTATTCCTAATCCCACCTTTAAACCCTCTGTATTGATCCCTCACATACGTTAGGAGTGATGTTGTTCAACAACTACCTAAATATGTACTCTCTTCCGAGTAATACACACTAAATAGGCACAGTCGATTGAGAGCTCTTCAACCAACCACAATATAAACATAGTTGAACAAATAGAGAAAAAGCTACGGCAAATCTATATTAAACGTAACCAGAAAATCATCCTCCAATAGGTTCCATCAAAACCCTAGATTAGAAGTTTTAGCTGCTCATACTCATAGTAACAATATCCCAAGTATTTTGCATAAATAAATCACAAAGTAAAGATGAAGGAATGTAGAAATCGATGATTCTTTCCCCCAACGGGTATTCCACGAGTTATTCTTGCCTTCGATCGCAAAACTGCTTCAAAAGTAGTGTTTAATGTCACGCCCCGACCTGGGAGCGAGACTGGCACTGGGTGCCTCAACTAACCTAGTGTACCAAATTGCGACTAAGGGACTCTGAACATATAATGTCATAATTTGGCCATGGGGCCACCTTGCAAGACAATTTGCGAAGCAAAATATAAAACTGAATGGAAACTAACGCTGACTAAACATCAATATAAAGTTGGGCCGACAAGGCCTCATAACTACTGCAACTGACAAACCACCAAAATATATATACCAGGCCTACAAGCCCAACATAGTGCACTAACTGACAGGATATGTCTACAAGCCTCTACTGATAGATATATTGTGATCGGAACAGGGCCCCGACCTACCCATAATATATATATATACATACACACAGAAGATGTACACGAAAACCTAGACCCGATAACTCCGAAGGATGTGGAGCTTACCGATCACGCTGAACTCTGGAAACACCTACTGAGGAGGTATACCCGTCTGTCTATCTGAACCTGCATGCATGAAATGCAGTATCCCCAAAAAAAGGACGTCAGTACAAAATAATGTACCGAGTATATAAGGCAATAACATAACTGAAAGTTGAAGCTGAACTGATAATATAATAACTGAAAGTAATTGGGAGTCAAAGATGATCTGGAGATATACTTACCTGTTGATA